TATATCGAAAAAACATTTTTGTTTTGAAAATCTTTCTGTATTTAGTAAATAGTAGAAAGAGTACCCTGCTGCATCTGAACTTCAAACGGTTTGGCCTTAACCATGTTAATGGTCCCAGATTATTGGTTAATAGAGAATCAAAGTCGATGTACCAATGAATCACGAAATGCTACGGTTCTTAAATATGATTTTAAAAATTTATTCAGAAGTCATTCGCGGGATCATGCACTCTTTGCTTTCCTAGTTATAATGAAAAAAAGTACAACTGGGTGAATCCAGCCTATTCTTGAAATAAACAACTCGCACACACTCCCTTTCCAAAAAAGATCAATACACCAAGGACTACGCTTAGATTTATTGGATTTGTTGCTAAAATATCGGTATTAACCCCGAAACTCCCGGCGGATGGCCAGTGACCCAAGGAAACGAAAGAATCGGTTACATTTTTCATATGATCTCCTATTTTATTTTAGATAGACTAAAAAAAAAAAAAGAACTCGGTTCTTTTTTTTGTATTATATCACTTTGACTCCTTTTCCATTTATTCTATCATATTTATATTATTCTAATTCTATGTATTTCTTTTTTTTGTTAATAATAATCAATTATTTAATATTTATTATTAATATTTATTATTAAATTATTGATTATTATCAATTTTCATTTACCTATGTCTAAACCTAGAAATGTATTTTTTTTTTCAATTGAAAATTCCAATAATAATAATTCTTATTAGAATTAGTGGGTAGGTTTCATGTCAATGGCAAAATACCTTATTTGTTGCAACACTCCTTTAAACATAAATAATAAAAAATATTTAAACATAAATAATAAAAAATATTTAAACATAAATAATAAAAAATAAACATAAATAATAAAAAAGGTTTCTCTTGAACTAAGAAGGGGAAGGAAGAAAGCGAGTCAGTGTGATAATTCCTCATCCTCAAATTAATCCTTCCCATGGATTATTGTCCCAACGAATAATTAATTGTAGGAGTGAAATCTTGATATAATTCGAAAAAGCGAGGAGTAAGTTCCAAGCCATAAACTAAGAAAAAAAAATACATAATTCTCATGCTTATAGGATTAAACAAAGGGATTAGCAAATAAAAGTGCCAATGCTACAACCAGCCCATAAATTGTTAAAGCTTCCATAAAAGCCAAACTAAGCAATAAAGTACCTCGTATTTTTCCCTCTGCCTCGGGTTGTCTCGCGATACCTTCTACAGCTTGGCCCGCAGCAGTACCTTGACCAACTCCAGGTCCAATAGAAGCAAGCCCGACAGCCAACCCAGCAGCAATAACGGAAGCGGCAGAAATCAGTGGATTCATGATAAGTTCCTCGCACCAAAATAAAGAAATGGTTAATGATACAATCATCCAATGAATTTTGACTTAATTATATTATTCCATCGCTAAGATTCAACCTGCCGAAGTAACTAAGAACTCCGAATGGAAGTGAGAAGATTGAAGATTATTGAACCGTCAGAACTATTTCGATATCTTTTTTTTAGTTCCTATCCACTGGATTTTTGTGAATCCGCGCATACTTTGTTCTTCCATTTCCTTCCTTTTTCCAACCCATTCCTTACTTTGAATTCTTCGTTTTTGTCTTCATTTTATCTCTTTATTCATTCAATTCAGAGTCAAAGACGAAACAGAAGAACTTCTATTCTTCTATTGGAATCCCTATCTAACTCCACAGTAGTGGGCTGGATTAGATCTATTTTGAGTTCGTATATAACTAGTCAATATCTAATATCCCATATACATGTGTTTCTTACATAACGTAAACCAATCTTTCATATCTTAGATTCAATTGGATTCTAGAATTATTCCTCAAAGGATAGACAAGAGCTGTCTTATAGCCATTAGATTCCATATACCTAATTCTACCCCCCCTTTTTTTTTTTATTTTTTCCTAATCATTTTTTTTAATATTGTTTTTTGTAAATTTGTCTCTTCCTTTTATTTATCATTATGTCACATGGATACAATCTAAATGGACGAATTTATTAGACCAAATCATTGCATAAAAATAAAAAATCAATAGCAGTATTTGATTGAGCTAAGTTAAGTTCATGCAATTTATTATTTATTTATTAAAATAAAATTTTCTTTTGGTCAATCATTGAATTGAATGAAATCGGCTGAAATGGGAATCATTCTATAGTGAAATGGGAATCATTCTATAGAAAGAACAGCTTTTTTAAAATCGAAAATCATAGACCCTAAATTGATATCATACGAATTCCTATTCTAATTAGGACTTGAAATTGAATAAACAAAAACAATATCAATATAAAGATAATATTGATTGAAGGTAAATATGATATAAATATAAGTAATAAAAAGATGGACCAAACCAGAATTTTAGGAAAAAGATCTTTTAGATTAGATCTCTTTCCTTTTTTTATTAGAATTCTCTAATATCGTAATCTTTTTTGTTATTACTCTAGATCGTCGTATTTGTATATTTATGGTCCCTAAGTAAGTAGATTATCTTAAGTTGTGCATACATTGCATTGGACTAAGTTAAAAAAAAGGGCTATACTATTTCAAAAACAAAAACTAGTCAATGATGACCTTCCATGGATTCGCCTATATAAGCCGCAGCTAAAGTTGCAAAAATAAGAGCTTGAATCCCACTTGTAAATAATCCAAGGAACATGACAGGTATAGGAACGACTGAAGGTACTAAAGAAACAAGAACAACAACTACTAATTCATCAGCTAATATATTCCCGAAAAGTCGAAAACTAAGTGATAAGGGTTTTGTGAAATCCTCTAAAATGTTAATGGGTAAAAGAATTGGAGTTGGTTGAATGTATTTACTGAAATACCCTAATCCTTTTTTGGAAAGACCCGCATAGAAATATGCTACTGACGTGAGTAAAGCTAAAGCAACAGTAGTATTTATATCATTCGTGGGTGCGGCTAACTCTCCATGAGGTAATTGTATGATTTTCCAAGGTAAAAGAGCACCCGACCAGTTAGAAACAAAAATAAATAGAAACATAGTTCCAATAAAGGGAACCCATGGGCCATATTCTTCTCCAATCTGAGTTTTGCTCACGTCTCGAATGAATTCAAGAACATATTCGAAGAAATTTTGACCCGCGGTTGGAATGGTTTGTGGATTCCGAACAGCGATAATGGCGGAACCTAATAAGATAGCAATTACAACCCAAGAAGTAATAAGTACTTGGGCATGGACTTGGAAACCTCCTATTTGCCAATAGAAATGTTGGCCTACTTCCACACCAGAGATATCGTATAACCCGTTTAGTGCGTTGATGGAACATGATATACCATTCATATTGCCCTCTGACAGAAATAGAACTTTACTTAAAAAAAAGGAATTATTTTGATTCAATCTTCTCTTGCATACTCAAATTCTATATTTTTGACACCGACTAAACTAATCACACAATATTTACGGTTTTTTATCTCTTTTGTGCGATTCAGGATATAGTAACCGATTCCATAGATCTATGTAATTCCAAAAAATAATTTATTTATCTTATTATTAATTTATTATTAATCAAGGATTTCGTATATAGCTAGAACGACCCTCACAAATTGCGACTACTAATTTGTTAAGAATTAATCGAATTGAAGCTATAGCGTCATCATTTGCTGGAATCGAAATATCTGCGAGATCGGGATCACAATTTGTATCGATTAAACAAATTGTTGGAATTCCCAAAGTGATACATTCTCGAAGAGCCGTATATTCTTCTTGCTGATCAACGATGATTACAATATCAGGCAATCTCGTCATATATTTAATCCCGCCCAGATATGTTTGCAAGCGAGATAATTGTCTCTTCAACATAGCTGCATCTCTTTTCGGAAGACGATTGAGTCCCCCCGTCTTTTGTTCTGTTCTCAAGTCCCTGAACTTATGAAGCCTCGTTTCTGTAGTGGGCCAATTTGTTAACATACCACCGAGCCATTTTTTATTAACATAATGACACCGAGCCCTTATTGCAGCTCGCGCCACCGAATCAGCTGCTTTATTTTTGGTACCAACAATTAAGAATTGTTTTCCCTTAGTTGCTGCATCAAAAAGTAAATCACAAGCTTCTGATAAAAAACGAGCAGTTCTAGTCAGATTTGTAATATGAATACCCTTACGTTTTGCAGAGATATATGGCGCCATTCTAGGATTCCATTTCCTAGTACCATGACCAAAATGAACTCCTGCTTCCAACATCTCTTCCAAATTTATGTTCCAATATCTTCTTGCCATTTCTCTTCACACTTCCTCTCTCTATCTCTTTTTTTACTTAAAAAAAGAGAGATACCCTGAAATAAATAATAGTTCCAATGGAACCTTCTCTTCTACCGGGGATTGGTCGTTTATCCACGAGCCAAGCCATTACTTTCTATTCGCTATTCTCTTTATTACTATTAACAAATTAACAAATCTTAACAACTCAACTGACCACAACAAAATAAATACTTAAAAGGACGAATCCACTCCTCTTATCTTAAGAATCATTAAATTCTATACCTATAAAAGAGCGGCCTGATGTATCATGTAAATTGTTTGAAATGCAAGAGTCAAATAATTCTCTGTGGTGGAAGAAAATATCTCTCATTTCTCCCCCGAAGAAATTCTTTTTTTTTGTTTCCAAAAGAATGTTGTTATGTTGCCGTGACCGGTGCACTAATCCTTTGAATCCGGTACCAGCGGGTATCATACCCCCTAGCACAACGTTCTCTTTCAGGCCTTTCAACCAATCGATACGACCCCGGAGAGCCGCTTTTGCTAAAACTCGAGCAGTTTCTTGAAAACTTGCTTCAGATATAAAACTTTGAGTGTTCAGAGATGCTTTCGTTATTCCCAATAAGACGACTCGATACCAAATCGCTTCTTCTAAAGCACGCCCCGTTCGTTCCGCTCGCAATAATCCAATCAGTTCCCCGGGTAAAAAAACATTAGACATTCCATCTTCTGAAACCAATACTTTTGATGTTATTTGACGTACAATAATTTCTATATGCCTATTATGGATCTGTACCCCCTGAGATCGATAAACCTTTTGGATCTTATTAACCAAAGAGAGACGACTTTGCACTATAGTTAGCTCAGCACCAATCACGAATCCCCAAGGAATTCCAAGAATTCTTGTTATACATTCGTTCCAACCCTCAACTCTCTTTTCTAGGTTCATCGATATTGAATCAATCGAACGCACTTCTAACACTTGTTCCACTTTTGGAAGACCCTGCGTTATATCACCAGACCTCGATTTTTCATATATAAATGTAACTAACGTATCTCCTTGGTAAAGGATTTCTCCATAATGCCCATGGACAGTTGCTCCCGGAGTTGCCAAATAAGGCTTAGCCGATCTTATTACTATAGAATCAACTTGAACAATAAAAACTTGACCCGATTTTAGGTGTGGTCCGCTTTTGGTTATACATACATTTTCAGAAATAAACTGCCCAAGACTAATTATTGTGGACGTTTCTTCACAATAATTATGATGATAATGATGATGGGGAAAATACCAATTCAAATTGACTGCATTCAAAACGATGTTACGGCATCGATCAAAATTATAAATTCTCCCATTTTCAGCTATTAAATAATAGTTAAGTACTTGAAAAGTCTGTTTTAAATTGTCAAGCTGCAAATATTTCGCTACCGAGGTCTGATTATGAGTTATTAAAGGGTAAAATGATGAATAAAAATTCGCAATTTGAGGGGCTGTTCCTAAAGGACCCAATAAATTCTTAATTGGAATTAGAGAATCTTTTTTATTTTTAATTGATTGTTTTAGCACATTGTGATATTTTACATCGTTGAATGGGCCCATGCGAAAACAATTAGATGATGACAAAATTATCAAAGATTGGGATTCCTTATTTCTGTTCAAGAGCGTATGAATAGTTCCGTGATTTTGGCTAAATGATTGTTGAATCCTTGCGTTGGAATAAATGGAATAAAACGGATTTTTATTGGTACGATCTGACCTATTATCCGAAATCAATCCTGAACCTGACGGATCATTTCTTTTTCTGATATACAAAATATGGGATTTCACTAAGTCGATTTTTAGGAAATCTCTAATCAGACCGTTTGTCCTTACTTCAACAAAGGAAGCACGGACCTCTTCGGCGGAAGAACTTTTGTTGTCTTGGTCCCAATTCAACACTAAACAAGTCCGAACTAGTTGAATACTTGTGTCAGAAATTCTCCGAGTCGGTTTGCCATTTCCATAAAGGATATAATTGACAACTCGAAGTTGCATATTATCTTTTTCCCGAAACGGATCCTGGGGGAAGAGTGTTGCTAAATTTATACCGTCCGATATTTCATATGGGGTTACAGGTCGAACCAAAACAAAATACTTTTTCTTGGTAGGTGTGATCCGTTGGACATAGATCCAACTTTTCAATTTTTTTGATTCCTTAGAGTTTGTTTTGCCCGTTCCTGGTGGTATCAAGATGCCACTGTGTCGAGATATCTTATCTCTTTCTCCGGGAAAATAGATATTACCAGAAAAAATTTTCAGTTCAATCCTTTTTTTTTTTTTCTCCACTCGGACCAATCCACCCGCTTGGCTTCTTGTATTTAAAGTGATTTGGGTATCTACTCCAATGATACTATTGTTACGTACCATTATGGAAGAAGATTCGGATAAAATATGCACTTCCTCGGGAATGAAAAAAAATCGATCTACTTTTATTTGGTATTTTGGCTTAACCTTTTTGACCCCTCGATACTCAATCACATCCTCCTTTTTGACGATTGAATGCGCCCCTATAGTCCCATATTTAGTAATTCCTGAACTCTTTCTTCTGTATCGAGGATCATCAAAAAAAGCCAGAATACTTTTTCTACGGAAAATACCATTTATGGGTATTTCCATCGAGATACCTGAATGTGAATGCAGCATTAGTTCTTTCTCTTGGTCTTGAATCAATTGAAATGGAATAATAAATCTATTTCTTCGTCTTTTTGCCAATAAATCAGCATTCTCGTGGAGAATAGCAGAATATATGAAATCGCAATGCCCAGTACCTACGATTCGATTCAATTCTGAATAATCGTAAATCCTATCTTCTTTTTTATCAGAAAAATCCGAACTAAATAAGTTGTGTCTCGCCTGATCATTATTCACTGAGAATCTAGAAATATATCTTCGTTCGGCAGAAAGATAATGAATGTTTATTTGATCTTGATCCTTGTGGAGTGAAAAAGGAACTACACTGAATTTGTACGAACCCCCCGATAATATCCACAAATGGCTTGTTTTTGGTAAGAGATGGACATTACTATATGTAAATTCGGGTGAATGGTACACATCGGTACTCCAGTGCATTTCCCCCTCTGAGTCAGAATAAATATGTTTTCGAACCCTCTCTTTAAAATTTAAAGTGTATGTTCCCGCGCGAATCTCAGCAATCACTTGTTCTGATTCTACATATTGATCGTTTTGAACTAAAAGAAAACTTTTTGGTGGAATAGTCACCTTATGT